AGGTTGTGGAGAAAAAGGAACTCTCCTGCATTGCTGGTGGAAGTGCAAACTTGTCCAACCACTATGGAGAGCTGTGTGAAGATTCCTCAACCTGCTAAAGATAGAGCTTCCATAGGATCCAGCAATTCCACTCCTAGGCATCTACCCAAATGACACAGAAACATCACTTCCAAAGGACACCGGCATCCCTATGTTTACAGCAGCACTATTTACAATAGCTAAGCTATGGAAACAAACCAAATGCCCAAAAACAGATGACCGGATCAAGAATATGTGGTACATATACACGATGGAATATTACTCAGCAATCAAAAAGATAAACACATGCAGTTTGCAGCAACATGGATGAAGCTAGAAGGGATCATGCTCAGCAAAATAAGCCAGAAAGAAAAAGAAAAATACCGGATGGTCTCACTCATAGTAGGAATTTAGTAAACCTAAATAAGGGTCCAGGAAAAAGACTAATTAATACAAAGTAAAAATCAAAATCAACAAGCAACTATAAACCAGAGACACACTATGGGGGGGAAGGGCGGGGAGAGGAAGGACTAGGGTCAAAATAAGGGGGGGTTAAATTGTACGGGGAATATAACCAAAATTAAAATGCATACATTGTGCAAAAATGAAAAATGATGTAAGAATTATATAAAATAAAATATTTTTTAAAAAATTAAGAAAATTCTGATACATACTACAACTGTAGGAACCTTAAAGTCATTATGTTAAGTAAGACACAAATGGACTAACAGGGTATAATTCCATTTCTATTAGGGGTCCAGAGCAGTCAAATTCAGAGACAGCAGTAGAATGTGGTTGCTAGGGGATGAGGTGAAGAGGAATGGGGAGCTTTGTTTAACAGGGGGAATGAAACATCCTAGACCAGGATGGTGGAATATTTGTGCAATGATGTCAATGTAGTTAATACCATAACATGCCTGGCTGAAAAATATTTAGTGGTAAATACTATGTATAATTTATAACAATGAAAAAAATGCACATAGATATGACACATTTACAACACACATCAATATGAGAAAGGAATCTGGAAGGCACAGGGAATGTCAGGCAACCTCCTCCACATGTTTACAACCAGATTATCACTGAAAAATGGTAACAAGCAGGGCTTCCTGGTGACCTAGGGGTTAAGTATCAGGGCTATCATGACTAAGGCCTGAGTTTCATCCCCGGCCAGGGAGCTGACCCACATGGCGCAGCAGACCCACCCTGTCTCCCCACTGCTCCCCTCAACAGTGGATTGCAGTTAGATCCACCTGCCCTGCTCCCCACTGCACCTCTGGCAAATCCTCTCACACACACCCCTGCACCTCTGGCCTGTACCACAGTTACATGCAAAGAAAAAAAAAAGAAACCCGAGTGCTCACTGATAGAGCATTGGACCAAGATGTGGTCGATCCACACTACAGAATACAAGTCAGCCGTAAAAACATGAAAGGTTACCATTTACAGCAAAATGGATGGAGTCTGAGGCAATCGTGTGTGGTAAAGCCAGATAGAATGACTGAGAGAAACACTGGAAGCTTCCATAGCAAACAAATCAATAAAGCTAATTACTAATAAAAGCCGCACCTGCTAATAAACAATGAGGTTTGAGCTTCAGAGGGCGGGGGAAGGGTAATGAGGTAAAAGGGATGAGGGTGGGGAAATCAGTCTCAGGTAGAGACAGGTGTCACGAATAAAAGGCTGGAACTGCGGTCAATGTCGGGGGGTGCATTACAGACAGTACCAGGGAAGGGTCCCCTGAGAATATTCTTTCACAACGAAGGACGGAACCTCAGGTGCGAAAGCCCTGCGGTGACAGGGTTTGTCTCCATCATGCAGTAGCAGCGAGGCGCCCCATGAAGCCGTGAAGCTGAAATGCTGGCCTGTTTTTCTCAGGGTTGTCGCATGACCCAAGCACATGCATGTTTCCCTTGGCTGGAAACCACGACAGCCGTCCGCTCCATCCCACAAACGCTTCCACTTTCAAGCCCACCCTGAAGCCAACGAACTGGGGCGGGGGGCGCATAACAAGAACGCCGAAACGTGCCCCCTCCCCGTGACAGGGGACCCAGAAAGGGCCCAGGCAGGAGGCCCGTGTGCGGAGGCAGGACAAGGGGCGGTGGGGGACAGGGCAGGGTCTGGATGGAAGTCGCGCAGGCGGGGCCGGCGATAGAGGGAAACGTCCTGACAGGGAGGGTTTTAACCCGGGAAGACGCCCGAGGGGTTTTACTCTCAGAAAACTATTCAAAGACTGAGACCTGGAGTTTCCATTGTAGGAGAAGTGAGCGGCGGGCCTCCCTCCCTGGAGGCGCTGACGGGGTGCAGCCTCCGCCTCCGAGAAGCCCCGAGGGCCCCAGGCCGCGGGTTAAGCCTCCTCGGGGGCCTCCGGGGCCCGGGGTCGAGGAGCCGCCTCCCTGCGGGCGAGGCCTGGGCGGCGGGTCGGGCTGCTCAGACTGGGGGTCGGGCCGGGGCTTCCCTCCTGCCTGCTAGGCCCGGGGCAGGGAGGGGTTGTCACCCCAGAAAACCTCAGTCTGCCCCAAGGACACCATCACCCACAGTAGCAGCCGCGCGGCCCGGGCAGAGCAGCGCCCAGAGCCCCCAGGCGCGTCCTCGAGCCACGAGGAGCCGGAGCAAACTCGGGGACCCACGGCCGTCAGGGGGACCCCTCAGGCATGAAACTGACACCCTAGGTGACCCCGTGCTCAAAACTGAACCCCAAAGAACCCCCAGTTCTCCTCACCAGGCCCCCCCCTCCTCTCACCGGACCCTCCCGTCAGCCGCCCAGGGAGACGCGCTCGCCCTCCCGCCCTCCCTCCCCCCGGCTCACCTCGTCCTCCCGCGCCGGGTCCCGCGGGGTCCTGAGGGGCGCGCCCCGCAGCCACGACCTCCTCGCAGCCCAGGACGCCAGGAACGCTGGAGGGAGCCGCGTGCAGCCAGGGTAGGCATGGGCGCGCAGGTAGGGGCAGGGCAGGGGCGGGCAGAGGGGCGGGCAGGGGGGCGGGCAGGGGGGCGGCCCGGACACACCTGGGCGCTCGCGTGGCCACGCCCGCCGGGCCGGCAATCCAGGGTTCAGTGACCCGGGGCCAGAGGCCGCGTCTGCCCCAAAATAATGTCCCCAGAGCCGCGGGCGCCCCAGAAATGGCGAGACGCGTCTATGTGAAGTGAAAGACTCGCGCCTGCGCCTCCCTCACGCCCTCCTGGGCGCCGCCCGCCGCCAGGCCGCGCCCCGCCCCGCACCCTCCTGCGCCCCCGGCTCCTTCCCGCGGCCCGCCGCGCGTCTCCCCGCGCCTAGGCCCTGGAGCCTCCTCGTCCCGGGCTTCGCTGCTCGCCGGTCCCCCGTCACCCCCCCCCAGCCCCCGTTCCCCGACCCGCGCTCACTCCTCTGCGTGTTGCTCACGACGGGCCGCTCAGCCCTCGTCCTGCCGCCCCGACCTGGCCCCACCCGCTCCTCCTCCCCGCGCCACGCCCATCCCACACCCGTTCGGCCCGTCCCTGCCCTCCGGGCCCCGCCCGCTCCCCCATTCCGCACCCCCCCGCGCCCCCCCCTCCGGGCCCCGTTCCCTTCCCCCCCGGCGCCCCCCCCGCGCCCGTCCCCCTTCCGGGCCCCGCCCGCTCCTCCTCCCCGCCCCGCGCCCGTCCGTCCCCCCGCCCGCTCCTCCTCCCCGCACCCCCGCGCCCCCCCGCGCCCGTCCCTGCGCTCCGGGCCCCGCCCGCTCCTCCTCCCCGCGCCCCCGCGCCCCGCGCCGTCCCAGCCCCGCCCGATCCACCTCCCCACCTCCCCGCCCAAGCCCCCTGCCCGTCCCGGCCCCGCCCGCTCCTCCTCCCCCCCGCACGCACGCCCTCCCTGCCCGTCCCGACCCCGCCCGCTCCTCCTCCCATCGCTCCTGGCGCCGCATCCCGTTCCACCCGTCCCCGCCCTTCCCGCCCCACGCCGCCATCACACTCTCCGCGGCGCCCGCTTCACGGCCTCCCCGCCAGGGGGCGCCTCCGCCGTTTCTCTGCCTTTGTCCCCCCAGGACCCCCCAGCGTTCCTCTGCCCCCCAGTCATGGTCTCCCCTCGAACTGCTGCCCGTCATCATATGGACATACAGCGATTATTCACCCGTTCCCGAGGGTTTTCCTGTAGATGTTTCCAAACATTTGTTGCTATAAAGCAGGTGTTGGTCAATAGTTTCATACGTAGATTGTATCAGTATTTCCAGCATTTCCTTAGGTCATTTCCCAAAAATATACAATTACTAGAACAGGCAGTAAAAATAGTCTAAGCTCACAGTTCTCTGCAGAAGGGTGGAGCAGGTGTCCTTTCCTCAGGAATGAATTACAGCACATAGTTCACCTCACCCCGGCCAACATTTCATTCCGTCTCTCCATCCGTCTTCTTCAAGATTTTGATGCTACCTTTGCACTAGAACCAAGGACACAAAAAGTTCCATTATGTATAAGCAAAAAATACTCTAGACTCTCAAAAAGGAACATTAGCTCAGTATACCAGCAAATGAAAAAACTAAACTATCTTAAAGTTTAGGAAGTAAAATAAAAGGGTAAAGAAATAAAAAGAGGTTTTTTTCCCCTAATCATGAAATTTTAATGCCACAGGTAATTATCTGTGGATCCACTATATGTATACATACATTCTCTCTCTCTCTCTCTCTCTCTCTCTCTCTCTCACACACACACACACACACACACTCTCTCTCTCTCTCTCTCACACACACACACACTTTTCCTGTGTCTCCAACAATTAGTTTGTACCCTATTCCAGTTGCTACTGACACCACTGAGAATGTCTTGATGATAGAATATGTAGGATTGGAGGAAGGTACTTCTGTATCCTTGTAGCATCCCAAGCAAGTGAGGAAGGAGAAGACACATGGGGCCTAATTGCTGGAGACCCGCTCCTGCTGAATGTCGTGTCAGGAGTCCCTGAAAGGAGAGGCCGGCATCGACGAAAACTTGGGGGGCTGAGGGGAAGTGGAGTGAGGTAGACACAGACACTCTCTCTGGTGCAAGTATCTCCTGCTGAGGGTCTCAGCGGGTCTTTATTTATACAGTCAGGCAAGCGGTGAGATTACATGAACATAAGCATCGAAGCAGAACAAAGACAATCATTACATACTTTCTCATGAATGTACAGAGACTCCCTTGGTCTCATACCAAAAGGGCATTTCTTTGGTTACCTTAAAAAACATGAGGGACAATTAGTTTTCTTAGTACAGCTCATTTTCTAACATGATCAATTATTTCAGACAGCACAACATTTGGTGACAATCATTCTATTAAACTTTCCCAGTTTCAGAGTGGGCGTGAAAGCCCTACTCTATATTCTATTACTGAAATCAACCTATCTCCTTAGCACTCGATAAACTTGGATAATTTATCAATAACTTCAAAGTGGCTTAAAGAAACTCATCAAATCTATGTTAGTTCTACGGAACTCTAACTCTTAACTATAAATACCTAACCTCCACACAGCCTGCGAACTACTGACCCTTTGCATACACCAGGAAATGTACTGCTGCCGCAAACACATACCCCCTGGGTTAGGCTACGGTTTCCAAGCACAGCTGGTTCAGGGCAGCTTGTTCTCCATAATTCTCAGTGCCACAACATTGCTTTCCTGACTATACCTTTAGCATTGTTTACTTACTTTAATAATGATTCAAGCATAAGAAAAATAAACCAATTAGCGTCTAGGTCCGATTTAGGTTTTTACAAGCATTAGCGTCTAGGTCTGAATTAGGTTTTTACTTCTGCATTAACCAAGAACAAACAGGAGAGCATTAGCAGGCGTAGCTATGGAGACTCCCTAGTTCAGATCTTCTGGGAAGTGCAGGAACTCCTCTCTTCTCGGGAGTGTCCCCAAATGCCCAGACCTTGTCAAAGGACAGCATGGGTAGCACAGTCTGCCACACCTAATGAAAAAAAAAATTGTGTTTAGTCAGCATAATCTGGAGACAGCCTGAGCAAAAAGCAGGAAGAGCAACTGGCAGGACTAGGAAGTGTCATGGAAGAGGCCACCTCAGGGGAGAGGCATCAGCACTGCCCACCTGATCTATTGAGTAGATGGAGAATCAAGGTACACACTCACCTTCATATCATGGTAAAGAGTTTCTGCATGGTAGGCAAGTACACTTCAAAAAGATTTCATTGAGAGAGTAAATAACATGATTATGAGATGCTATTTTGATAGGAAAAGGACTAGGCAGCTACAGCTCCAAAGCTGCCTCATGCTTACAGCTCTGTGATTCCAAGGTGTAAGAGGAACACAGCTGAAGGGCTGCTCCTTGGCAACCGACCTGGTCTGCTGCTCACCAAGCATCAACTCAGACACTCACCTCCGTTTTCTTTGGGGTTCTGAGTTCTACATAGGAAGGCATATAAGACAAGACACCGGCTTCTCAGTGCCCTTTTGTTCATGAGCACATTGGCTGTAGCAGTTTTGGCAGCATGGGGTGTAAGCCACAATCTTCTTCATCCCTAATGAGTGATACAAAATCACAAGGATTCATTCATAGACATTTAAGTAAACTGTACACGATGGCCACTCGTTTTAACCCTTGATTATCTCCCTGTAATCTTAACTAAGGTAACTTCTACATATTCATTAACATCTGTGCTTCACATAAGATCACATAAGACTTATTCATTTCAGCAGAAACACCCAGATACCCTGCTAACAGAAAAGACTGTCTTCCCAGAACATGAGCATAGCATAGGTATGTTAGGGACACTCAGACCTCAGCCTGCTTCGTTCATATAAAAATTCTTGATACAAAAACTATCTTAAAATCATAAAGATTCTTCTTTTTTAAAAAAGATTTATTTAGGGGCCTCCCCTGGTGGTGCACGCAGTTGAGTGCCACGCTGTGAAGCTATCTGCAGCCTCTGCAGCGCCGGTTTGATCCCGGCCAGCCGTTGAGGGTCCCACATGGCGTGGCAGACCTCTCCTGTCTCACCCACTGCTCCCCTCAGCAGTGTATTTCATCAGTCTGCCTGTTCTGTTCCCTGCTCTGTCTCTGGTGAATCCTCTCACCCTCCCACGCATCTGGCCTGTACCCCGGATCTTGTATAAATAAATAAATAAATAAATAAATAAATAAATAAATCTTTAAAAAAATTTATTTATACAAGAACTGGGGTACAGTCAGAGGCACGGGAGGATGAGAGAATTCACCAGAGACAGAGCGGGAAGCAGAACAGGCAGACGGATCAAAGACACTGCTGAGGGGAGCAGCAGGCAAGGCAGGAGAGTTCGGCTTCACCATGTGGGTTGGCCCTGGCTGGCCGGGGATCGAACCCACACTGCAGAAAGCTGTGGATAGCTTCACAGCATGGCGCTCAACCCACTGTGCCACAGGGGAGGCCCCTGTAAAGGTTCTTCTTGTTCTTTACCAGTACTTAAGGAAAACGGGCACCTGTCACTGCAAATGTCACAATCTTTCCAATGTACACTAATGATAAATAAGCACCCTACAAGTTGTTCTATAAAATTAATTACCAGCAGACTCAAGTGAAAGGCTACTTTTAGTGTTGTTACATGTATGACCTTAGCTTATTTTCCACAATATGGAAACCATGAAAACTCAACACCAAATACTGAGAACAAACAGTAGAGGAGGTTCACTCTAAACCCACCAGAACAAAGTGGCCACTGAGGATGTCCAAGCAATAGCACATACATTATCCTGGACTCAGAGAGAAAATAATGCCACAGTCACCCACACAGACTCAGCTCACCAATGATTCCAGATGATTCTGAATATTAGCTCTTACAATATTCTAAATTATCTAATGTAAAATAAAATGATCACTACATCTTCCATTATATCACAGATGCCAGTTTTTCAATTGGCCTCACATAGTAAAGTCTGAGTCTAAAGAATATGGCCAATTCCACAGGTCTCAGAGACAACATTTACAAGCCTCTGAGACAATACCCACAATCAGATCCATAATGAAAATATTTTTGTCCACCTTCAAATATAACTTTTAAACATTTATATTAGTATTCCATAACATGAAATGAGCTCAACAAATAATTATGCTTATCCAATATCAAAACAAACTTTGAGGACCTCCCTGGTAGACTAGGGCTTAAGTCTCAGCACTCTCACCACAATGGCCCACAATACGGCCTAAGTTAGATCCCCAGCCATGGAGCTAACCCACATAGGGCACAGCAGACCTCTCCTGTATTACCACTGCTCTCCTGAGCAGTGTATTTCAGTAGATCTGTCTGCTCTGCTCCGCACTCTGTCTCTGGTAAACCCTCTCATCACCTCACACCTCGGGCCTGCACCCCAGGTCTTCTACACAAAAATAAATAAAATTTTTAAACAAAAAGAAAAACAAACTTTGATTTAGAAATTGGTAGAGTTCTTGTATGCATAAATAAATACAAACGCATAAATAAATAAAAATAAATCTTAAAAAAACACCAATGATTCAAAGCAATAAAGCACAGCAATGTTACCATGATCCCACATGTGGACAGTAATGTCCAGTTTGGGGAGCAAAAGGATCAGAGTGTGGTGGCAGGGAGCACTGTCTCCTTCAATGCAGACACATGGATTTACAGCCTGGGGAAGAATTTAGCCAGAAGCCAAGTCATATGTGTTTCCTCTGCAGCTGTTCAATAGCATAATCAAAACTAAACTCCCTATTTTCTACTTACAACTGAGATTCAACCAATGGTAGTTGTAAGTTTTTTACATTTTTAAAAGACCACAATAAATTTTAAAAATGCTGTGTGTATAGCCCAGTCCCTGGCAGACTGCAGGCACTTAGCTAACCCTTGTTCACTACCTTGAGTGTTCATAGTACTTTCTATCATGGAAAAGAATATATACCCTCCCGGGCCTCCCTGGTGGCGCAATGGGCTGAGACACAGACTATGAGGCTCTCCGCAGCCACTGCAGCACGAGTTCGATTCCCCCTGCCTGCCAGGGAGTGGCCCACATGGCGCGGCAACCTCTCCTGCCTCGCCCGCTGCTTCCCTCGGCAGTGTGTTTCAGTTGGTGTGCCTGTTCTGTTCCCTGCTCTGTCTCAGGTGGGTCCTCTCACCCCCCGCACATCTGGACTGTGCCCAAGTTCTTGTATGCATAAATGAGTAAGGACTTTAAAAAATACACACCCTCCCATGCTGACATAACTGCTGAAAAAATAGTTATGTACAGACATCATCATTAAATTGAAGTCCACTTATCCAGATGTGTATACTTTATTAAAACCCAAAGGATCATTCCCAGAAGTGTCTATAAAGGCACACCCCATCCTGCTTGCTTTGCTTTATCAGATACCGCTTTTCACAGATTGAAGGTGTGTGGCAACCTGGACTGGGGCAAGTCCAGCAGCGCTATTTTCCCAAAAGTATATGCTCACCTCATGTCTCGGTGATATCTAATTAGGGTATTTTCTCAGTAGACAAAATACTATTGCACACTTAATAGACGACACTATAGAGCTAACAATTTTTATTGACACCAGGAAACCAACAAAAAAGTAGTGACTTGATTTATGCAATATTAGGTTTGTTGTGGTATTCTGGATTTGAACCAACAATATCTTCAAGGTGTGCCTGTACCACCTCTTATTTGGTGCAGTGTAAGTACACCTATTAAAGCAAAGAAATTTATTTTGCTAAGGCTGCTGTTTGCAGCTGGCCCTATGCCCACGATGGCAAACCTAATAAAGATGGGAGGCGATCACAGCCTGTGCTTGGATAGAGAAACGCTTGTCACAAAATGCTTAAGAACATGTATCACGATGAAATAGACCTATTTTCAACTCCAGAGAATTTTTTTGTATTTAGTTTATATCTAAAGGACAATTTAAAATTGAAGGTAAGGGCCTCCCCGGTGGCACAGTGGTTGAGTACTGGCTGCGAAGCTGCCCGAAGCCTCTGCAGCACCGGTTCGATCCATGGCCACTGGCAAGGGTCCCACATGGCACGCAGACCTCTCCTGCCATGCCCACTGCTCCCCTCAGCAGTGTACTTCGTCAGTCTGCCTGTTCTGTTCCCCGCTCTGGCTCTGGGGAATTCTCTCACCCTCCCGCATTTCTGACTGTACCCAGTGCTTGTATAAATAAATAAATAAATAAATAAAAAATAATAAAAAATAAAAATAAAAGTGAAAGTAAGTAAAGGACAGTGCACAGACACAAGCTGGCAGAAAGAGCTGCAAATGCAAAAGGTTTGTGAAAAGAAACACCTGCACAGTCACAGGCAGGCAGGAAAGCTGCCTCGATCTCCAGGGCATTTTTTAAGTAGGACATACATCTTTACACTCAACTTTACATTCGGTCCATTGTAATGACAAAAATAATCAAAATTATTTCAGAGAATTGATGTGTGCTCTTCAATACTGAAAGAGAATTACTAAGAGTGATATGCAAGAATCTAAACTTTAGAACTATGTAAATAACCTTTTTAAAATCTAATCACAAAATGACACAAGTTCACTGAGAAAACTGTCAACAGAAAAAACATGAATAACAAAACAATCACCATGGATACCAACATCCTGAGGACACTAGTCACTGCTTCTAGTATATTTCCCACTTGTATAGATTTGATAGATCTAAACATTAACAATTAAAGGGGGGGGGGTCTTATCCTGAATAATACCGCAGTCACTGCTGAGGCATCACTTTCTTATCAGTTGTTCTAGATATTCAGGAATTCCCTCTGGTAGGTACAGCACAGCAGCTAAGCCTGCTGTATGGGAATAATTACAGAAAAGTCTATTTTGAAATGCAGTGTCTGACAAGTAGCAATCACCTTTGGGATTAGAGCTAGTTCTAAAACTATTAAGTAAATTATGTGCAACATTAAAGACAGCATCTGCATGTAACACAATGATACATTAAACTTTTGTTTTAACCTGAGACTCCTGCCTTATGAAGGAGGAAACCCAACATCCATGGAGCTGTTCTGAGGATGGACAGGGTCACCCACACTCCTCCCCTCCCACTGGGCTTGAGGGGTTTACAGTTTAGCCTCATTTGACAATCTCCGACTCAGACAAAAATATGGAGTCCAAAATCCCTGATCTTTCTCCATATTTGTATGATCTTAACACAAGTTCCTTGTCTCTTTTGAACCTTAGGATTTTCAACTACAGAGTAGGAATAATATCTCTATAGTGTCATCAATGAGTTCATATAACTTAACTAATGAACTTGTTGCACAGGGTCAGGTAATGTCCAGCAGGTGCTCAATAAACATCGATTTCTTTCTCCTACCCTGAAGAGTTCAAGGCAAGCATAAAAGGTTTTACAATGGAGGAGGTAATATCAGTTTAACAGATTCTAAATATTAAAAAGTAAGTAGATTATCCACAAAATGTCCACTTCCCAGGTGAATGAGTGATTGTGGCTTATTCACTCTCTAAAATAGGAGGGATCCTCTTAGTGCCAGGTATCAGTAGAGAAAAGATCTCAAGAGCTTAGGAAAGGGCCCTTCAGTGTCTCAGATGATTCCCCATAGAGAAACTTTCTGACCCCATTGGTGATAGCACCCAGTTGTGTGTGGTGATAGCACCCAGGTGTGTCCTTTAGTGATACAGAGATGGTCACAGGTTTCAATACACTGAATTGGTGAATACAAACCCATTTTTGAAAACCAAACATTGTAGCCAGAGTGTGGCAGCCATGTGGCTCTTGGTCATTCAAGGCTCAGGAAAGTCTGGATTCTATTCAAGGAACCTAAAGTTGCCTCCTGAGGCAGTTTCCAGGTGTCAAAGTTCCCTCTTCCAGGCTCTAAATGGACACATCGGCTGCACAACAGTAAGTGATGCCTCAGCCCTCAGATGTGGGCCCAGGACCAACATGGGAGCCTCTCAGACTCCATGAGATATGCAGAGCCCCAGGCACTATGCAACCCACTGGGTCAGAAACTGCATCCCGGGAGACTGGGACACAACACTGCCCTTCTGCCTGCTAGATCTGGGGAAGGGAAGGGGATGTCAGCCCCAGAAAAGTTTACAATACGTTCCCCAAATTATAAGGCTACAGAAATAAAACACACAGATCAATGGAACAGAGTGGAGAACCCAGAAAACCCACCCCAGGGGTTGATCAATGTAGCAGGGAAGAGCCAGGAGCAAACACGGGGGACACACTTTCATTCAGGGGTGCTGGGCACCCACGGGGTCACACTCAGGAATGACCTGACACCCATGTTCCTCCAAGACACAAAATGACCCAAACAGAACTCTCCACGTCCAGCCCGCCCAGCCCTGGGTCCCCTGACTCACCGCTCTGCAGTCAGCCACGGGCAGGGAGATGTCCTCACCTTCCCCTCGCTTTGGGGTGGTTCCTGAAGAAACCAGGTTCCCCTAGGCAAGAACTTCACCCTGAGTCCCGGGAAGCAAGTGCCAAGGCGAGCCCGGCCGCTGAAGAGGCAGGAGCCACGCGTAGGCGAGGGGCTGCAGGAAGGGTGAGCAGGGCTGTAGGTGCAGGGGCGGGGAGCAGCAGCAGGTGCGTGGGGTGGGGCTGCAGGTGGTTGCAGCAGGGCTGCAGGGGCGGGGAGCAGGGCTGCAGGTGCAGGGGCGGGGAGCGGCAGCAGGTGCGTGGGGTAGGGCTGCAGGTGGTTGCAGCAGGGTTGCAGGAAGGGTGAGCAAATCTGTGGGTGCGGGTATACAGGGTGGGGATGTGGGGGCAGAGGCCAGCGGAAAAGCCCCGGGTACTCACGGGCCGCGCCCGCCCGTCCTGCTGCGGCTGAAGTTTAGAAAATCAAACCAAAATGCAGGCGAGTATCCCACATCTCTGAAAATACTAACCCAAAATTTCCACAAGTCATTAAAACAGCAAATCGTGTCCATGTGCTTTAAAGACATGCTCAGGAATACTGACCCGCAACCACAGAGGGCACCCAAAACCCGCTGCTCACCCCACAGTGAGAGAAGGGGCGTCCCGCTCCACCTGCCCGACCTTTCCGGCCCCAGTGCCTCCTCAGGATTCCCTGAGACGCTGCATTTCCCCGCCTCGCCACCAGGCGGCACGCGCTCCCATCACGCCTGCGCGCTGCCCCCGGGCTTCTCCTTCCTCGGCCGGCGGGCCCGCTCCGCCGGGGCGGGCGCTTCTGGCTTCCGCCTCTCAGCCACTTCCGCTCCCATTGCCGCCCCTGCGTCAGCGCGCAGGGGCGTGACGTCAACACGCAGGGGGCGGGGCAAGGCCGAGGAAGGAGAGGCTCTCGGGGGAAACCAGGGGCAGAGCAGCGGCGCGCTCCGCCTGGTGGCGCGGAGGGGCGGTGCAGCTGAGGCGGGGTAATGGTGGGCGGATGCTCCAGGGCCAGAGGGAGGCGCAGGCGGGGCCAGAGCTGCGGCCAAGGGGCGGGTCAGCAGGGCGAGGGGGAGATGCAGCCGTGGAGAGTGGTGGGGGGCGCGCAGAGAGGGAGCAAGAAGCGGGAGTGTGTTCCCGTGTGACGTCAGAGCCTTGAAGATGGGAGACACAATGACGTGGAGGCAAGAACCCGCTGAAATCGGGATTCTCGCTCTTTCAGAGAAGAGAACAAATTGGTATCACCCTTCTGCTGGGAAACTTTGAATTTAGATAACAGAATTTGGAATATTATCTATATGTGTATGTATTAAAAGAAATAGTCATTCAATAGTAATTCCCAATAGTAATTGGGAAATGACCTAAGGGAATGATTTTGTCAGGGGGAAAGGATGTCCTGAGCTAATCCCATACAGGTTTTGTGGACTCCACCCCACTCCAGACCAAAGCCATCAAGACATTGGGAAAGACAAATCCCGTCACCACCAAAGGGAAGGTGGCTGGGACCTGAGGGTGGAGTTAAGCAGCCAGGTTTGGTATAAAAACCAAACACGTGGGGGCCTTGGGGGGGGGCTCGCTCTCTCGCTAGCGTGCAGGCTTCAAGGCTCCTGGCTTGTGGCCAGCTCTCAGAGTGCCATTTGGGATCCCAGATCGGCGGATCGGGTAGGATGCATTTAAAACTTTGTCTCCCACTTTTCCCTCTGAGTTGTACATTTCCTCATTTGCCCTTCCCTTGTAAATAAACCTTTTATTAACCTTTCGTGTGTGCCAGCAGTATAGTATTGATAGATCCTTTTAAGTGCATGGGTGAGGACCCACAGTCAGGCAACCCGTTTTGTATCAGGGCTGCCCTGTAACAGTTTGAACACAAATAAAAATCTTTATTTGTAAAATGCTAACCAGCATTTTCTTATACTAACAAATACTTGGGAACACTCTAAATCAAAACTCCAGGAATCACTAAAATATATTACACTATATACATAAAGCAAATGTAGAAATTAGGTACAATAATTCTGAATAGTTTTCGGTAACTTGAAATATATGTATGTTATAATGTTAAATAAAAGAAGAAAGATATAAAATTGTAGGCATAGTGTTGTTTCAGATATAAAATAAACATAATATGATTTATTCAAATCTTAAATACCAGACAAAATTAAAATCGTGTGTTAAGTATGCATTTATTGATACACACTTAGGTGATGAATTGTCATGAAGGGCAAGGAAAATAATTATAATGACAGACACACATTCGTGCTTAATTAGTGAGGAAGATGATGATATAGTGTGGTTGTACATTTCCTCACTCAGCTAATGCGAGTTCATTTTGTAATTCTACAATTTCACATTTATAGTCTCTGCCCATACACATGGGTCCTATAGTTCACAGTTCAAAATACTGAAAATTATGAGGAAAAAAGTAAGCTAACTCACAAAATTATCTCTTTTAAAAAGATTTATTTATTTATGCATACAAATGCTGGGGTGTAGGCCAAAGGTACAGTGTGTGAGAGGACTCACCAGACACAGAGTGGGGAGTACAACAGGAAGATCCACTGAAATCCACTGCTGAGGGGAGCAGCAGGGAGACAGAAGAGTCTGCTCTGCCTTGGGAGTCAACTCCCTGGCCGGGGATCAAACTCAGGTCACAGTGGTTGGCAATAGCTTGACAGTGCTGAGACTTTAACCCCTGTACCACCAGGGAAGCACTAAAAGGATTTCTCTTTTGATGAAAAAATTACAGTTCACTGTTCCTCATTGTATTTTATTCTAATGTTCAGATTTTCCACAATGTACACAACTCCTTTTCAGTTTCAGAACCAGCCAACCAAAGCTAATAAAAAAATTAGTGCAATCAGTGGTTCAATTAGCCCCCTGTTCCTTGGCAGGTGAAAAGTAACCATAGAATATTTTTTAAAACCAGTCTTAAGAATTCTGTTGTGGTGGGCCTCCCTGGTGGTACAAGGGGTTAGGACGCAGCCTGTGGAGCTGTCTACAGCCACTGAAGCACAAGTTCAATCCCCATCCAGGGAGCTACCCACGTGGCACAGCAGACCTCTCCTGGTTCCCCACTGCTCCCCGCAGCAGTGTATTTCAGTCAATCTGCCTGTTCTGTTCCCCACTCTGTCTCTGGTGAATCCTCTCACCCCCCCTACACACACACACACACACTACTGGCCTGTACCCCAGATCTTGTATGCATAAATAAATAAAGCTTTAAAAAAAGCATTCTGTTGTGGTTATGTAGCAGAGTGGTGCAGGAAAAGGGGAAGTTCCAGGTCTTGCCCCACCCAAAGGAGGGTGGAGCTGAGCAGGGAGGACAAAAGCTGGACAGTAGACTGGAGAAGGAAGGAAGCAGTGTGGAGAGCAAGATGGAGACCTGGAGGAGACACATGGAGCAAGGAGACATGTGAAGAAACTGTGCTTGCCTTTTGGTCGTCGACTGGGTGAAACAGATGTGGATGAGAGACCCATGGGGAGGTGACAATGGCGGTTTTTGTCTTGATTTTGATTTTGTTCTTTTCCTCCCAGACTTGTCTGGCTATTTCTGACCCTTTCCTATGGGTCCCCCTGGAAGGTGCTTTGTGGCAGCTTTTGGGCCTGCTCTGGGCCAATCCCATTTGGCTGGACTTTTGCACAGAGGGGATTGGTAACTCTGGGTGATTAATTTAGAAATTATATTCTTTGTCTTTTCTGTATTGTTTACCAATTGTATTAAATTTCCTTTCCATTAAAGGTGTTAAGTTTTGTCTTGATGTGGCAGATGGCAGAACCTATATAGAGCAGGCAGATTTGGGGGTTCTGGGGTGCCCCTCTCCCTGCCCTGTAACAGTTATAAAAGATTTTTGGGTGAAAATATGGCATTCCTGATAGTAAAGCAAGGGTGGACAGAGCAGCTGCATGTCAGTTAATGTCAAGCTCACCTCGTTTTTGTTTGTGTTTTGTTTTCTGTTTTATTACTGAGGGGTGATGGATTATTGGAATATAAAAATTTAGAAAGGAAGATACTGTAAGGACAATTTTTAAGTCTTTATTAACCCAACTATGGAAGGTTCCAGCAATCTAAGGTGGGGTCAGAAAAGATGATCAGCCAGAGGTGGGGGCAGAGAGGATTATCAAACTTAGAAGACCAACCCATTCTGACACCAACGCAATAATTTCCGCAATAATTTCATCAAGGAACCTTATGAAATAATGCCCCTTACCCTGACAAAATGCAGCTTTTTTTCTTTCAGAAACCTGTGTCTATGCAGACATCTCTCTTTGCTATTCTTTTTTCCTCAATAAACTTGATGCGTCCTGATGAAAGGGAACATTACTCAATTATTTGTCAGAGGGATCCAAGAAACCCCCCTATACTGAGCCCCATCACCTGAATTCCATCAAGGGGTTTTCAATTTTTAGTTTGAACTGAGGCTCCTACTCATTTGTTGGTCCAAATGAACACATTTTACCCTTTTTCAATTTTTAAAATATTTATTGTGCTTAATCAACAATGTTCATATAGTTATAGGTAAAAATAAAAAATGGTGAAAATAATAAGGCATTAATTCAAAGTCCAGACCCTTCCAGCTTTCAATACAAGATGTCTGGGGCCTCTCTCATGGCGCAAGGGGGTAAGTCTCAGCACTACCAAGCTACCAGCAGCCACTGTGGCATGCGTTCCATGCCCAGCCTGGGAGATGGCCCACATGGTATACAATACCTCTCCAGTCTCGCCCACTGCTAACCTCAGCAGAGTATCTCTGCATCTCTGGCCTACAACCCCATCTTGTATGCATAAATAAATAAAAATTTTACAAAATAAACAAGTACAAGAGGCCTGAATCTTGTACAAAATTATGGGAAGAAAAAGACAAAATTTTGAATGCCCTAGCACCTCCCCCCAGCAGGTGCCAGGGCTGCGCCTCTGCCTGCACTGAGTTGGGGAGAGAGAGGAGCCAACAGGCCAGAGACCCCCCGCTCTGACAAAATGGAAGGTTCTATGCTCATCAGGCAGGCCCAGGGGCGGGGAAGATAGTTTTTTCCTCTAATACCTGAGCCTCCGTTTCCTTATCTGTACAAAGGAAAGTATCCCCTCGACTAGAGAGGCAGACACCACCCCTTCACCTGTTGTTGCTGAGCGCCCACTGTCTGCTGGATGAGGACACGGGCTGAGTCAAGCCCACAGCTCAGAGCACCCTCAGTAGCAATCGGGACACAGGGAACCTCAACAGACCCACAAGAATTGTGACAGGGAGCTTGAGACGCCACAGCCTTCCCTGGAAGGGACGCCTGACACGCTCCTGGCCGAGGGGGCGACCAGCAGGGCTGCTGCGGAATGACCCTTGACACGGACTCGGTCAGGTGAATGGGGAAGCCAGAGAGAAGGAGGTTGTCAGAGAGGGGCCGCGGGCCTGAGACAGCAGGAGCAGATGGCAAGACTCTCATCAGCTTGTCTGGAGGCTTGGACTTTAGCCTGAGCGCGGACAGTGGGAGCCACTGAAGAGATTTTTGAGGCTGTAGATAAATGACGTGACAAACAGGTTGTCTTGTGAGGGCAGCAAGGACCGAGGGAAGGTCTGCAGACAGCCCTCGGGACACATCTGGTTCCTCCCTTTCCTCTCCCCAGGGTGGCAAAGATAGGAGGATGTGAACCAACCTGCCCAGGACAGCAGCAAAGTGCCCTTGCTCGCCAGGTACAAATTCAGACCCCAGGCCCAGCTTCAGAAAGGACCATCCGTGGATCAGTGGGTCTGGCCCTGCCTTGTCCAGTGGCGGGTGACCAGCCCGCAATCGAGGACTGTGGATTTTACAGACACACATGACCAGAGACGTGGCTCTAACTTCATTATCAACTTCATGTTTTCCAGTTTCACATTTTGAATTTCCTGACTTAATTCCTCTCCTGATTCCTTTATAAAGCATGCAAGTAAGTCACTTAAGTGCAACATTTTCTCTGGTGGCACCATGAAGCAGGTGACAAAGGGATGATCTTACTGAGCGTTCCATCCGCAGAAAGGTGGAAGAATATCCTAGTATTATACGATCAATAACTGGTCATCTATTATATGATGAAATGCCTTTGCCTTTCAATCTGAAATATTCCTTCTTCATCCGGAGAACCGACCTACTTTGTCCTTTTAGAATTTATAGAAAATAACACCTAAGTTTTTTATTAACACTCTGTTTGATGAATGTTCCATAATTGGGAAAAAGTAACATGCCAAGATGGGACATCCTATTTGTATACAATTTACAGATTCAGTGCCATTTCGATGAAACTTTAAATGGTGTTCTTCAACAAAATGGAACCAATACTGTTCAAATTCATATGGAATCACAAAACCTCAAGTAGCTTAAGTTCTCCTGACTGAAAGATAGGAATCATGGAGGCCTGACACTCCCAGACAGCTGACAACACGACAAAGCTATTCTCATAAAAACTGTGTTGGGACAAAACCACACACAGAGACCAATGGAATCAAATTTAAGCCCAGAAATAAAACCACCCATATATGGTGAACTAACCTATGACAGAGGAGCAAAGAATATACATTGGAAAAAATAGCCTCTTCCATAAATAATGCTGGGGAAACTGGATTGCAACATGCAAAAGAATGAAACTAGACCACGACCTCACACCACACACAAACCAACTCCAGTGGATGAAAGACTTGCATGTGAAACCTAGCACCATAGAATACACAGAACAGAACATAGGCCAACACTCAATGACACGATCCTCAGAAACGTCTGTGAGGAGTGGTCTCAGAAGCAAAGAAACCAGGGAGAATGTAGATAGATGGGGCTACAGCAAGCGACAGTCATCAACACAGAGACACCCGCTGCATGAGGGAAAATATCAGCACACCACACCGCATAACAGCTAAGGGACTGATATCAAAGATCTACAAAGAGCTTACACAACTCAACGAAAACAAACAACCCAGTCAAAGAAAAATGCCAGAAGTAAAAAGACACTTTGTCAAAGAAGAAATGCAAATGGCCAGCAGGCACAGAAAAGATGTTCAGCATCACTGATATCAGGGAAACGCAAATCAAAACCACAATGAGCTGCCACCTCACTCCACTGAGAAGGCTCCACATTTAAAAAGAGAAATTGGAAACAACAAATGCTGGAGAAGTGGCAGAGAAAAAGGAGCCTCTGACACCACCAGTGGGCGTGCAAACTGGTCCAGCCACTATGGGCAGCTGTGTGGAGGGTCCTCAGAACACTGAAAATGGGTCTACACATGATCCGGCTTTCCACTCCTAGGAATCCACCAAAGGGACAAAAAAAAAACCAGGAAACCCGAACTGCTGTGTTCATTGCAGCCCTATTTATAATAGCTGTGACATGGAAACAACTCATGCCAGAAAACAGATGAATGGATCAAAACGTTGTGGTACAGTTACTGCTGCACCTCCCCCTGCAGTGACCTTTAGGGCTAATGGCTGTTGCCATGGTCCCTGAGGTCCGCCTTGGGCAAGGAACCATGCGCGCAGGGGGAGAACAGCAAACTCCCTAAGATGCAGAGAAGCCGAATACCTGCCAAGAGATAACAACTACCAGAAGCCGCCACAAAGACTTAAAAGGGATGCTGACCACACGGAACCTTATCTCGCTTTCTCAAGGCCCACAAACTTTATTCTGCTACAACTGTCTTTCTAAAATCTTTCCTTTTTCTGGTCATTGATTGCTGATTAAAAAACATACGTAATTTAATAATTAGGCTAATCCAAATGAAACATTACTAAACACTGTGTTATAATAGAATTGTTGGTTTAATAATCTTTCTATTATGTGCTTGACTTTAGTACCTTTGATATTAACTGCATTATAAAATAAATTCACCCATGACAATTAATTATGAGTAAAAATGAGTAGGTAGTAGTAGTAGTAGTTAGTACAACAAGAATATAATTATATAGAACAAAAGAAAGAGTTAATAGCCTGTCTACTTAGGAATGCGGCTAGGTCCAGATGTATTTTGGACATAGATCACTGCCCTGTAAATGAAAAGCTAAACCTATGAGCAAGCTGATTTCGTTGATGTTCACTGTTCCTATGCTTTTAGAAAACATATATATACTGATCACAAACTCAAATTAAATTGCACTCAGATTTACACTCTCTCTTGAAGTGTATCTGTTTGTCATTTCTTTCGCCGACTCCCTGACCACCCTGCGCGCTTCTCTCAACCCTGAGACGGCCTCATCATCTACTGCTGTGCTGGTCAGCGGCAGTTACACCACGGAATATTGCTCAGCAATCAAAAAGTCATGCCACTGGTGGCAATAGAGATGGAGCTGCAAGGGATGATGCTAGCCACAATAAGGCAGGAGAAAGATAAATATCAGGTGGTTTCACTTACATGCGAAAAGTAGAGAAACTGAACAAAAGGTAGAGAAAAAGACAACCCTAGCAGGCTGACCAAGACCTGAGGCACCCAGTGGGGAGGGGGAGGGAGGGGGGTGAACAGAGGGGAGGGAAAAGCACAAGGGATTATGGTGATGGGGCATGGGGGCTATTTTGGTGGGAGCACTATGGGGACCACCCCTGAGGGGAGACACCAATAACTAAAAAAATGAACAACGATGCAAGAAAAGAAAAAAAAAAGAGAGATGGTCTTTAAGGACAGGGAAGACCCTAAGACAATATAAATAAATAAATGCTCTAAAGGGGGTCTCACCTGAGCACTGCTGGAGACACTGCCGAGGCATCCCCTCATCCGTTGTTCTAGATCTCAAGGAATTGTCTCTGGCCTGTGCAGCAAGTAAGCCTGCTGTGTGTGAATAATTAGAAAAATGCTATTTTTATTTTTAAAGATTTATTTATTTATACAAGAACTGGGGTACAGGCCAGGGGTGCGGGGGTGAGAGGAGTCACCAGAGAGAGAGTGGAGAGCAGAACTGGTGGATGGATTGAAATCCAGGGCTGAGGGGGACAGCGGGGAGACGGGGAGGTCTGCTGCGCCCTGAGGGCTGCTCCTGACCCGCGGGGGTGGACCCGTCCTGCAGGGGCTGGCCAGAGCTGGGGATCTCCATCTGTACCCCCCCGCCCCCCAGGAAGCCCATGAATATGACCTGAAATGGTCCCCAGTTCTCACCCGGAAGCTGAGCACGATCTGAGCTGTAGAGAGAGGGCGCCGCCATGGGGATCACGATGGAGAGACCTCGCTCAGGGCAGCAACCTCCTGTCCCAGGACGGTGCGGGGGCTCCTGACCCCAGCCCCCCCCCCGCATGGGCAGCAGCTGCCGGCCCTGTCCCGGTGCCGCCCCCCGGCCAGGGCCTCTCTACCCAGCGGCCCTCAGCAGAGGCAGCGCCACTCAAGGCCCCACCCCGCCTGGAACCCTGGATATCCAGTTGCTGCATCCCCAGGACTCCCCAAACCCTCTGAGCACCCCCTGGCCCTGGCCACACTCACCGGGGGCTAGAGGGTCACCTGCACCCTCCGCTCGCACTAACAGCCCCAGAAGCAGCCTGGGCGGAGGGGCAAGGTCACTTGTCAGGGAGGCTACCCCAATCTAGCCACAGGCAGACAGTGACTGCGCCCACAGCCAGGAAATGCAAATAGGCCCCCCCAGTCACCTCAACACGCGCGCAAGCCCCGGGCAACCCGCATCCCTGATGGGGAAAAGCCCGCACCTGCCCCAGCTGACCTGAGAAACCCCAGACTCAGCCCAAAGGTGAGCCAGGCCCCACTCACCCACTGTGAAGGCGCAAAAGTGACAATTTCAGAACCATGGGTAGGGGCCACCAGAAACTCCCTAGCCCCTCTACTCCCTGTCTTCTCAGTATGTGCTTCACAACGCGCGCAAGCCCTGGAAAACCCACATCCCTGATGGAGAAAAGCCTGCACCTGCGGGAAAAGCCCACAACGCTCCTTACCACAGTATTTCACCTCAAATTTTTCTCCACAGAGGCCTGTCTTCTCGCAGGAATCTGCTTCCAAGGGTGTCACTTCTCAGATTTTTCTCCTCAACACTCCTTACTACAGTATTTGCCCTCAGATTTTCTCTTCAGAGGCCTGTCTTCTCCTCAGAATCTGCTTCCCAACGTGTTACTTATGGTCAGATATCTCCTCTACACTCCTAACTGCAGTATTTCTCCTCAGTTTCTTCTCCTCAGAGGTCCGTCTTCTCAGTATTTGCTTCACAACGTGTCATTACGCCTCAGACACTTCTCCTCAATAATCCTTACTGCAGTATTTCTCCTCAGATTTTTCTCCACTAGGCATGTCTTCTTGTCAGGATCTGATTCCAAGAGTGTCATTTCTCCTCAGATATTTCTCCTCAACAAGAATTACTGCAGCATTTCTCCTCAAATTTTTCTCCTCAGAGTCCTGTCTTCTCCTCAGAATCTGCTTCCCAACATGTCATTTCTCCTCAGATATTCCTCCTCAACACTCCTTACTGCAGTAATTCCCCTCAGATTTTTCTCCTCAGAGGCCTGTCTTCTCAGAATCTGCTTCCCAATGTGTCATTTCTCCTCAGATAATTCTCCGCAACACTCCTTACTACAGTATTTCTCCTCAGACTTTTCTCCTCAGAGGCCTATCTTCTCCTCAGAATCTGCTTCCCAATGTGTCATTTCTCCTCAGATATTCCTCCTCAACACTCCTTACTGCAGTATTTCTCCTCAGATTTTTCTCCTCAGAGGCCTGTCTTCTCCTCAGAACCTGCTTCCCACGGGGTCATTTCTCCTCAGATATTTCTCCTCAACACTCCTTACTGCAGTATTTCTCCTCAGATTTTTCTCCTCAGAGGCCTGTCTTCTCCTCAGAATCTGCTTCCCAATGTGTCATTTCTCCTCAGATATTTCTCCGCAACACTCCTTACTGCAGTATTTCTCCTCACTTTTTGCTCCTCAGAGGCCTGTCTTCTCCTCAGAATCTGCTTCCCAACATGTCATTTCTCCTCAGATATTCCTCCTCAACACTCCTTACTGCAGTATTTCCCCTCAGATTTTTCTCCTCAGAGGACTGTCTTCTCCTCAGAATCTGCTTCCCAATGTGCCATTTCTCCTCAGATATTCCTCCGCGACACTCCTTACTGCAGTATTTCTCCTCAGATTTTTCTCCTCAGAGGCCCATCTTCTCCTCAGAACCTGCTTCCCATGGGGTCATTTCTCCTCAGATATTTCTCCTCAACACTCCTTACTACAGTATTTCTCCTCAGATTTTTCTCCTCAGAGGCCTGTCTTCTCCTCAGATCCTGCTTCCCACGGTGTCATTTCTCCTCAGATTTTTCTCCTCAACAAGAATTACTGCAGTATTTCTCCTCACTTTTTTCTCCTCAGAGGCCTGTCTTCTCCTCAGAATCTGCTTCCCAACATGTCATTTCTCCTCAGATGTTCCTCCTCAACACTCCTTACTGCAGTATTTCTCCTCACTTTTTTCTCCTCAGTGCCCTGTCTTCTCCTCAGTTTGTGCTTCCCAATATGTCATTTCTCACCTGATATTTCTCCGCAACACTCCTTACTGCAGTAATTCCCCTCAGATTTTTCTCCTCAGAGGCCTGTCTTCTCCTCAGAATCTGCTTCCCAGGGGGTCATTTCTCCTCAGATATTTCTCCTCAACACTCCTTACTACAGTATTTCTCCTCAGATTATCTCCTCAGAGGCCCGTCTTCTCCTTAGAATCTGCTTCCCAGGGGGTCATTTCTCCTCAGATATTCCTCCTCAACACTCCTTACTGCAGTATTTCTCCTCACTTTTTTCTCCTCAGAGGTCTGTCTTCTCAGTATTTGTTTCACAATGTGTCATTACTCCTCAGACACTTCTCCTCAATAATCCTTACTGCAGTATTTCTCCTCAGATTTTTCTTCACTAGGACTGTCTTCTCGTCAGTATCTGATTTCAAGGGTGTCATTTCTCCTCAGTTATTCCTCCTCAACAAGAATGATTGCAGTATTTCTCCTCAGATTTTTCTCCTCAGAGGCCTTTCTTCTCAGAATCTGCTTCCCAACGTGTCATTTCTCCTCAGATATATCTCCTCAACACTTCTTACTACATTATTTCTTCTCAGTTTTTCCTCCTCAGAAGCCTGTCTTCTCCTCAGTATGTGCTTCCCAACGTGTCATTTCTCCCTAGGTACTTCTCCTCAACACTCCTTACTACAGTATTTCTCCTCAGAGGTCTGTCTTCTCCTCAGAATCTCCTTCCTAGCATGTCATTTTTCCTCAGATATTTCTCTTCAACACTCCTTACTGCAGTATTTCTCCTCAGTTTTTTTCCACAGAAGCCTGTCTTCTCTTCAGTATGTGCTTCCCAAAGTGTCATTTCTTCTCAGATACTTCTCAACAATCCTTACTGCAGTATTTCTACTCAGATTTTTTCCTCAGAGGCCTGTCTTCTCCTCAGAATCTGCTTCCTAGGGGGCCATTTCTCCTCAGGTACTTCTCAACACTGCTTACTGGAGTATTTCTCCTCAGAGACCTGTCTTCTCCTCAGAATTTGCTTCCCAACTTGTCATTTATCATCAGATATTTCTCCTCTGCACTCCTACTAAAGTATTTCTCCTCACTTTTTGCTCCTCAGAGGCCTGTGTTCTCACTATGTGCTTCACAATGTGTCATTACTCCTCAGATACTTCTCCTCAACACTCCTTACTGCAGTATTTCTCCTCAGATTTTGCTCCTCAGAGGCCTGTCTTCTCCTCAGAATCTGATTCCAAGGGTGTCATTTCTCTCAGATATTTCTCCTCAACACCACTTACTGCAGTATTTCTCCTCAGATTTTCTCGTCAGAGGCCTGTCTTCTCCTCAGAATCTGCTTCCCAACATGTCATATCTCCTCAGATAATTCTCCTCAACACTCCTTTCTACAGTATTTCTCCTCAGTTTTTTCTCCTCAGAGGCCTATCTTCTCCTCAGAATCTACATCCCAGGGTGTCATTTCTTATCAGATATTCCTAGTTCATTGCCTTTGCAAAGAGAAATAGAGAACACAATAGAATGAAAATCCTGTATTCCAAGTCAACTGTCACAGATCAACATAAATCTAGTGTCCTGCCAAACAGAACTCGTTCATTTTATGTCTCATCCTAGAAATTGACTATTTCAGCAGAGGTTCCATCACTGACAGGAGAGATGGTGGTGTCAGATTTATATAGATTCTTTTGTGGTAGTTCAACAGTTGTTTTATTTCTGCATAAACTTGTAAACAGTACAAGGTCAGAAGTTTCGTAAATGAAAAGGGTGCTAAGGCTCAAGGAAAAGGAAGAAAAAAAAATAAGAATAGCAAGAGGCATTCCAGGAACGAAAGAATACCAAGAATATTTAACTCCCATTTTTAAAAAGGGGGATTTTATTTTTGTTAAAAAGGTACCCTTGAAATGAATTTTGTCCACTGTCAATGAAAGGAAGCCACTGACACAGAGCAGACTGGTATTGCCATATCAATCCATGACCATTATTGTTTCTGACACGGTGACTTTCAAGGTAGCAACAATGGCAACAATGGTGTTCTAGTCTCAACCCATTTAAGCAATGTTGAAATGGAACTGCACACAGGCCCCACAAAATGGGCATCCTCACCAACATTTCCACCCCAGACGTGAGGACACTCGAGCCTTCCCCATTCATCTTAAATTTTTTACATTGTCACCATCTTCCAAAGAAACGTGAGCTATTTACCTGTAGCTCACTTTGAATTTCCACACCGTCATGATGCATTGGGACCATTGGGTGGGTGTCACCACCGTGAGTCCCATCCTGCCCTGGCCAGGCTCCCGTAAGACTTGGAGTGAAGTCCCAGCCTGGGCCTGCGGGGTGCGGGGGGGAT